ATACATAAATATGTTGTGGGGTCAGTGCTGTGGCGTAGTGGGTGAAGCTGCCACCTGCAGTGCTGGCATCCCATATGGGCACTGGCTCAAGTCCTGGCTGCTCCACTTCCAATCCAGCTCCCTGCTAATATGCCTGGGAAAGCAGTGGAGGATGGCCCAAGTAATTGGGCCCCCGCACCCTCGTGGGAGAACTGGGGGAAGCTCCTGGCTCCTGGCTTCAGATTGGCACAGCTTCAGCTGTTGGAGCCATCTGGGGAGTGAACCAGTGGATGGAAGACACATCTCTCTCTCCCTCTCCCTCTCCCTCTCTCTGTGTAACTCTTTCAAATAAATAAATAAATCTTTTTTTTAACTTTTATTTAATGAATATAAATTTCCAAAGTACGATTTATGGATTACAATGGCTTCCCCCACATACCGTCCCTCCCACCCACTACCCTCCCCTTTCCCACTCCCTCTCCCCTTCCATTCACATCAAGATTCATTTTCAATTATCTTTATATACAGAAGATCAGCTTAGTATACATTAAGTAAGGATTTCAACAGTTTGCTCTCACACAAAAACATAAAGTGAAAAATAATAGATGATTTTTTTTAAATGATGATGAAATCAGATCAGACCTATTGTCATGTTTAATCCCAGTGAGAGTCAAGTTGGGAGTTGATAGTTTCTTTTCTTTTCTTTTCTTTTCTTTTTTTTTTTTTTACAGAGGATCAGTTTAGTATGCATTAAGTAAAGATTTCAACAGTTTGCACCCCCATAGAAACACAAAGTGAAATATATTATTTGAGTACTCGTTATAGCATTAAATCTCAATGCACAGCACATTAAGGACAGAGATCCTACATGAGGAGTAAGTGCACAGTGATTCCTGTTGTTGACTTTACCAATTGACACTCCTGTCTATGGCATCAGTAATCTCCCTATGCTCCAGTCATGAGTTTCCAAGGCTATGGAAGCCCTCTGAGTTCTCCGACTCTTATCTTGTTTAGACAAGGTCATAGTCAAAGTGGAGGTTCTCTCCTCCCTTCAGAGAAAGGTACCTCCTTCTTTGAAGACCTGTTCTTTCCACTGAGATCTCACTCACAGAGATCTTTTGCCAGAGTGTCTTGGCTTTCCATGCCTGAAATACTCTCATGGTCTTTTCAGCCAGATCTGAATGCCTTTAGGGCTGATTCTGAGGCCAGAGTGCTATTTAGGACATCTGCCATTCTATGAGTCTGCTGAGTATCTCACTTCCCATGTTGGATCACTCTCCCCTTTATTTATTCTATCGGTTAGTGTTAGCAGGTACTAGACTTGTTTATGTGCTCCCTTTGACTCTTAGTCCTTTCATTATGATCAATTGTGAACTGAAATTGATCACTTGGAATAGTGAGATGGCATTGGCACATGCCACCTTGATGGGATTGAACTGAAATCCCCTGGTATGTTTCCAACTCTACCAATTGGGGCAAGTCAGCCCGAGCATGCCCCAAATTATACATCTCTTCCCTCTCTTATTCCCACTCTTATGTTTAACAGGGATCACATTTCAGTTAATTTTAAACACTTAAGAATAACTGTGTGATAATTACAGAATTAAACCAGTCATATTAAGTAGAACAGACAAAAAAAATACTAAGAGGGATAATGTATTAAGTTGTCCATTAACAGTCAGGGCTATGCTGATCAAGTCACCATTTCTCATAGTGTCCATTTCACTTCAGGAGGTTTCCTTTTTGGTGTTCAGTCAGTTGTCACCGATCAGGGAGAACATATGGTATTTGTCCCTTTGGGACTGGCTTACTTCACTCAGCATGATGTGTTCCAGATTCCTCCATTTTGTTGCAAATGACTGGATTTCGTTGTTTCTTACTGCAGTATAGTATTCTAAAGAATACATATCCCATAATTTCTTTGTCCAGTCTACCATTGATGGGCATTTAGGTTGGTTCCAGGTCTTGGCTATTGTGAATTGTGCTGCAATAAACATTAGGGTGCAGACCGGTTTTTTGTTTGTCAATTTAAACTCCTTTGATTAAAATCCAAGGAGTGGGATGGCTGGATCAAACGGTAGGGTTATCTTCAGGTTTCTGAGGAATCTCCAGACTGACTTCCATAGTGGCTTGACCAGTTTGCATTCCCACCAACAGTGGGTTAGTGTCCCTTTTTCCCCACATCCTCGCCAGCATCTGTTGTTGGTAGATTTCTGAATGTGAGCCATTCTAACTGAGGTGAGGTGAAACTTCATCGTGGTTTTGATTTGCATTTCCCTGATTACTAATGACCTTGAACATTTTTTCATGTGCCTGTTGGCCATTTGGATTTCCTCTTTTGAAAAATGTCTATTGAGGTCCTTGGCCCATCTCTTAATTGGGTTGTTTGTTTTGTTTTTGTGGAGTTTCTTGATCTCTTTGTAGATTCTGGTTATTAACCCTTTATCTGTTGCATAGTTTGCAAATATTTTTTCCCATTCTGTCGGTTGTCTCTTCACTCTCCTGACTGTTTCTTTTGCAGTACAGAAACTTCTCAATTTGATGCAATCCCAATAGTTGATTTTGGCTTTGACTGCCTGTGCCTCCCGGGTCTTTTCCAGAAACTCTTTGCCTGTGCCAATATCTTGAAGGGTTTCTCCAATGTTCTCTAGTAACTTGATGGTATCAGGTCGTAGATTTAGGTCTTTAATCCATGTTGAGTGGATTTTTGTGTAAGGCGTAAGGTAGGGGTCTTGCTTCATGCTTCTGCACGTGGAAATCCAGTTTTCCCAGCACCATTTATTGAATAGACTGTCCTTGCTCCAGGAATTGGTTTTAGATCCTTGATCAAATATAAATTGGCTGTAGATGTTTGGGTTGATTTCTGGTGTTTCAATTCTGTTCCATTGGTCTATCCATCTGTTTCTGTACCAGTACCATGCTGTTTTGATTACAACTGCCCTGTAGTATGTCCTGAAATCTGGTATTGTGATGCCTCCGGCTTTGTTTTTGTTGTACAAGATTGCTTTAGCTATTCGAGGTCTCTTGTGCCTCCATATAAATTTCAGCACCAATTTTTCCAGATCTGAGAAGAAGGTCTTCAGTATCTTGATTGGTATTGCATTGAATTTATAAATTGCTTTTGGGAGAATGGACATTTTGATGATATTGATTCTTCCAATCCATGAGCATGGAAGATTTTTCCATTTCTTGGTATCCTCTTCTATTTATTTCTTTAAGGTTTTGTAATTTTCATCGTAGAGATCTTTAACGTCCTTGGTTAAGTTTATTCCAAGGTTAAATCTTTTTTTTTTTTTTTAATGTATTGTAAGCTCTGAATTTTGGCAATGGAAATCTAGAGAAAAAGTAACCCATGAGCAGACTAGGTCTCCTTTCCTTTGGCAAAAAAGTTGGCTGGAAAATCACAGGGGTGTGTTCTTGCATGTGGAACCTGTGGTTAGTACTGCAGGTATCTATCACATCAGGGTGTTAGGACTTTATCAATCAAGTGGCCCCTAGAAGACACCCGATGATTTAAAATGACATCTGACATAACCGTAATTTAGTCATACAAACTGGGTCCTGTACACAAATTTGAGGATGATACCTCTTTCCCACCCACATTCTCAAATATGTATTTCTTCTGTGGTTTGTTATCTTTGAAAGCTTAGTATATATCCTCTAAGTATTGGGAGCAAAGCAAAAGCTCATATGTGTGTCCTCCAAATGTTGAGAAGAGGTGACAGAGTATAATAATAACATTTCAAAAACAAACTACAAAGCTATCAAACTATTTAATAAGCTTTAATACTATATAAAAATATTATGTAACCTGTTTCCAGGTGCTACCATGAATTTTTTTCCTAATTCTGTTTTTTTTTTTTTTTTTCTGACAGGCAGAGTGGACAGTGAGAGAGAGAGACAGAGAGAGAAGGTCTTCCTTTGCCGTTGGTTCACCCTTCCAATGGCCGCCGCTGCAGCCGGCGCACCACGCTGATCCTGGCAGGAGCCAGGAGCCAGGTGCTTTTCCTGGTCTCCCATGGGGTGCAGGGCCCAAGCACCTGGGCCATCCTCCACTGCACTCCCTGGCCATAGCAGAGAGCTGGCCTGGAAGAGGGGCAACCGGGACAGAATCCGGCGCCCCAACCGGGACTAGAACCCGGTGTGCCGGCGCCGCAAGGTGGAGGATTAGCCTATTGAGCCACGGCGCCGGCTCCTAATTCTGTTTTGAAATAACTCAAGCATCAGCTACATTACTTTAAAATGTTTAATTATATTTAATTGAACATTATAAATTACATTTATAAGGAACAGTAAAGCTATACATGAATAAAATATTTCAATTTGAACACTAATCAAGAAAAAATCTTTAGTACAGTAAGAATTCATTAAACACATATCATTGTTAGGCTGTCTCTGTAATGAAAACCATTATGTAAAGAAAAGCTATTCAGCTACTACTGAAAACCCAAATTCTTTTACAAATTATTGTATTTTATCATTGCCAAAGAGTTCCTTAAAAAAAATGGGAGGAGATAAAATAATCAAAATTAGCTCTTGAAGCTATTTTAACAGGTTCTACATGCTAAATAAAATTTTATGAAATGACTCAGGGGATAAGATTTTGCAAATTTCTTCCTGGAGTTCTTTAGATAGTCTCTAACAGCCAAATAGAGAGGGGTGAAATTCCCTTATAAAGTCGAGTGGAGAAAAGGCTGGCTTCGAACCAGAACTGGGATCCCTGACTAATGCTGCAGCCAGCAAGCTCAGTGCACTTGGGCCAGTGTTCAGCCTTTGTGGGCTCCGGTTGGCTGATTGGCTCATTTTGGAGATTCTCACCTTCCCAAGCTACTTCTGTGCACCCATAGCTGGTCTCAAAATGCTGTGCAAACTTTCCCTGTGCCATCTCAGCATCCCAGCTGGCCATTGCCTCTGCTCATCAGCATCCTGACTGCTAAAGAAATCTCTATTTCTTTATGTATAAGAAGAGTAAGATAGGTGTCATTTCATGTTCTACTGCCTGCCGGTTCACCAGTCAATATTGGGTGCATCCTGGATTGTCTTTCAGAAGTCCTCATTGTCATAGCTCAAGAATGGGACCGCCCTATCCGAGTAACTCATTGCAGAGCCCAGCCCAGACAAGCACACGTCCCAAGTGTCTGCTCCATCTGTTCTCGAGGGAGCCTCCTGCTGAGGGAAGTCCAGTGTGGGTCTGATGGCCTGGCAGTCTCCTGGAAGTGTTAGAGGAGAGGCCGCTCTGTTGGTGCTGGCTGGGGGGTCCAGGGGTTCTGGATGGACGGACATCAGAGCATTTTCAGAAACATAGCTGCAGCTGGAAAGGCTGGAGTGCTCTAGCACATGGTCACTGTAAGCCAGAGCAGGGGGCTGGAAGGCCTGGTAGGACACTTTGGTGGTGGTGGTGATGACGGTCTGCAGGGCTGGAGCACCTGCTGGGGGGGATGTGAGATGCCTGCAGGGAACCTCTGGGTTATAATAAGGCCTAGTGGCCATGGCCTGGAACTCTCCATGGTCAATTCTTTCCCCAAGGCCAGGTCTTCCAAGAGCTGGTCTCCAGCCATGCTGTTTATTGGTAAAGTCATAGCCTCTCTCATGGCTATTGTAGGAATTGACATCATACTGAAGTGTGTTCAGATGAACCCACTCTGTTTCATTAGGGACACTGGTGGAATCTGTATACAAGGTAGGATATAGGTTCGAATTTGTGTAACCAGGGCCTGCCAATTCATACCTACAAGTTGGCCTGGACAAATAGATTCTTGGGGTTGGGTACTTGTGAAAGGGTGGCATTATGTCTCCTTGAAAGGTGGCAAGGTCACAGGTGGCTTTGTAAGCCTCAGAGTTTGGGAAGGAGGGGCAAGTCTGAGCTGAAATAGGGAAGCTGGGGTCAGCAATTGTGTCGAGCAGTTCTGGATTTTCCAGGGGTGGTGTGTTGAAATTTCCACGTCTGTCTTGATTTTCTCCTGCCTAAAAAAATGATACAGACATACGATATATAAATTGTTTGCACATCCCTCCTGTAACAGTAGCCAATCACATAAATAAAACCCAACTTCCCAGTGGTGTGGACAGAACTGCTCAGGTACAGGATTTGGGCCCGTGATCTAGGGATAGATAAGCTTGAGCTGACTCAGGCCTGAGTATCACACAGTGAACACGGACGGTCCCTGGCAGCCAGGCATTTGGGTTGGAGCAGCAAATGACCCTGTTCTCATCCATATTGTCTGCATAAGAGGGCAGACTCAGGAGCCACACAGTCCTGGGTTCAAGTCCTTATTCTGCCCCTCACTAATTGAGCTAATCCAACCTCTCTGAGCCTTGGACTTCTCATTTCAAGCATGGGACTTAATAACAGCAACCTGATCATAGGGTTTCTGTAACCATCAGATGTATGACACTCTTAGATCAGTACGTGGCACAGAGGAAGTGCTGGAATAAGGTCAGTTTCTATTCTGCTCACACTAACACTTTGCCTGCTTGACAAGCTCCAGTCGAAAGGTCAAACTGGATCAAACTTCCCCAAGAAATTTTATCTGGTCCTGTGTAAGCAACATAAAGCATTCTCCCAAGGATGCACCTGCCATAATCCTCCCTTAATCATCTACAGTCAACTACTGTTCAAAAAAATTAAGTGGAAAATTCCAGAAATAATTTGTGAGCTTTATTAACACATATTATTATAATTATTCTATTAAGCTCTATTATAGATATGAATATATATAGCTATGAATATATATATACATACATACATACATACATACAGTACATAGAGGGCTCCGTGTGACCTGAAGTTTGAGGCATCCATTGGTGGTCTTGAAGTGTCTCTCCCATGGTCAAGGAGTCTATGGTATCCCTTTGTCACTAACTGGATCATGTATTTGGATGTCAGCACACACCCTAACTATATTGTTGTCCTTAAGGTTGTTTTTTTTTTTTTTTTTTAAGGAGGGATTAGAATCGTTCTCCAGAGATGGGCTTTGGCACAGCAGTTAAGTTGCTGTTTAAGATGCCCACGTGTCATACCTGAGTACCTGGGTTTGAGTCCCAGCTAAACTCCCTGATTCCATCTTTCTGCTAATGCTCCCCCTGGTAGATAGCAGGTGATGGCTTAAGTTGTTGGGTTCCTGCCACTCCCATGGGAGATGCCAGTTGAATTCTCAGTTTCTGTTTTTGGCCTGACATAACCCTGGCCATTGCAAGCATTCTGGGTGTCTGCCTTCCAAATAAATAAAACAAGTGAAAATTTAGAGATTCTGTCCCAATGTCGACACTATGTTTTGTCAGAGATAGATAATTTTCACATAAGATCGTAACTTTGTAATTACTGTATGAGATTCATATTTCAATTAATTATCAGTGTATCCTGCTATGGAAATGGACACAGAGCACAGTGCTGGACCAGCTCCCCAGTACCTCAGGGTCTCGAATTCTCTTCTTCTGGGGCTGGAAGAAAGAAGCCATATGTCTCTTAATGGCACTTCTTCTAGCTTCCGTCTCCGACTTACTCTCTGGTCTTGGGTGGTCGTGGACCCCCTTGGCCTGCGTTAATGAAGAAATGAGTCAGATGTTTGTTCCTCTGAAGCAGGAGTGGGGAAGGCCCGGCTCATGGGCAGTATAAGGCCCACAAAATCATGTGGTCTGGCCCTGACAAGGCAACCGCAGGGGGAGCTGCAATTCAATAAATCTACAGCCAGCTAATTTTTAAGTTGATTTTTGTATGACCATGAATGATGTTATAAAAAAGGCTCCCCTACCCCTTGAAGCTAGCCATGTGGGCCTGAGTTAATCATGCCTTTCCCAAGATCCCAAGTTGTCTTTTTCCTAAATGATAGGAAAAAGAATTCTCGAATAAAATGGCATCAATAGTAGACATTTTTAAAGATTACCTGCACTCCCTTCAACCTATTAAATGAGCTATAACTATACCTTGGTCCACCACAGCCCTAAAGAAACACACAGCTTATTAACTACTGCCTAGCAGGTCCCTGGGGAGATCCAACACCCATTTCTGGCCACCGGAGCTACACTCCATGCCCATCACGAATTATAGTCTCACCTCACCTACCTGAAAAAATATGGCGCTGCCGTCAAGCCGCCAGAAATTGGTTACAGGGTACCCGCTGTGCCCTCGACAAGGAATCAGCTCCAAAGGCGAATGACAGTTGGGGCACGCCTTCTCTGCAAACCCCGGAGGGAGAGAGATTAGACCCTGGGCTCTGCGGGAAGATGGGGGAGAGGACCCACGACTCCCAGGCCGCCCCGCCCCGCCGCGCCCTCACTCTGCTGTTTCAGCCGCGCCTTGTCGCAGATGGCCGGTCGCAGCTGCAGCCGGGAGCCGTCGGGCAGGACGCAGCCGTGCGCGCACACCACCACGCCCAGGCACGACTTCTTGAGGATGTGGCCGTTGTGGTTGTTGGTGTTGCGCATGGCCCAGCCGCTCTGGTGGCGCTGCGCCTTCTTCTCGTCGCTGCTGTAGATGAAGCGCACGTAGCCGTCGGGCCACTCGCGGAAGTGGTCGAAGTGGGCTGGCTCCTGTGAAGACAGGTGCTGAACTCGGCCGGGCTCCAAGCACACGCACCGCCCTTTTCTCCAAGCCCATTAGAAGAAGAACAGGTTATTGTTCAATCCAAAAAATGTTGCAAAACACCAAACCATACCACCACAAAATGCTGCTCTTCCTGGCCTTTGGGACAAATGGCTAGTCACTGGTGAGTATACACTGCCTGTCTCCTAAACGCTACACTGTATTAATTCATCTAGCCTTTACCACATGTGCAGGCAGGAAGTACTACTCTGCCCATTTTACCCACTAGAACATGGACATCAGAGGGGTCAGTTGGCGTGGCCAAGGTCACACAGCTCACAAGACCCAGCTCTAGGATTTGTACCCCAGCACTTGGACTCCACAGCCTACGATTCTTACCAGTTCTTGGTTTGTTTAAATGTGATTTTCAAGTGGAGTGTGAAAGTGCCAGGGTAAAAAAGGGACTGCAATTCTCTATCATGGGGATGAACTTTATCCTTGGAAAAATCTGTATTACAGCCCAGTGTGTTTTTTTTCCCAAAAGCTCTTGATGCCCTATGCCAAACCAAATGGACTTTAACATAATCAGCAATGTCTGCAGAACATCAGAGAAGCAAAGACAGCTTTCCTCTAGACTGCCAGCTTAGCATAAATTAATATACTGATTTAAGGTTAAGTCCCAAGTGATGTATTCATGCTGCTAACTCCATGTTTTTATTAAACGCGAGTATCTCTGAACATTCAACTTTAGCATCTTAGTAATAAACCAGCCACTGAGAGTATACCCTGAGTTCTGTCCTGACGGTACAGACTGAACCCCCCCTGACGGTACAGACTGAGCCCCAGAGTTCACCCAGCTACGGGGCCAGGGACACGGCAGGTGAAGACACAGAGGAGGTTATTTGAAAATCAAAACATCAGCAAAGGATTGCAGGATTGGGTTTCATTCGCTCTGACATGCTTGTATGTGTAGAGATACACACAAAGAGAACAGGACTGTAGGGCCAAGGCAGAGCTGAGATGGTTATCTAGTTCCTCCACCTGATGACAGGTCCATCTCTGAGACTAAGGCAAACTCAAGGACTCTCTCAAGGTCAGGGAGCCTGTTTAGCTTCTCCTTTGGTTAGGCAGAGCAGTGCTAGCTTGCTAAGTTTCCTCCATTTTCTTTCACTATTCCAATGAGTCTGTCGCTTTTGAGATGTTATACACATTCCCTGCTGAAGAACCCATCTCCCAAGCAAAAGAAAATCCTTGAGAGATGAGCCATTGTTGCATATTTGGAGGTGACTCTCACCTAAAATACAAGTTCAGAATGTTTTCCATGAGGATTTATGTGGACAGAAGTCAGCAAGAACGAGACACACGTGTGGACTGTGGTCCACTTGTGCACAGATGCACAGTGCAGCACTGAAGTAGGTAGACTTTGAAACAAACTACAAAGTGCACGTCCAAAGACATGTTGCATTCCAATGAAATGCTGTTCTTCTGAACACCCATCTGGCACATAATAGAAGATAAATAAATGCTATGTCTCTTGACCCTGTGCCACCATGTTGCTGCAGGTCTACCTTCACAAATGTGTGGGGAAGCAACTCCCATGGTCCCCTCACCTGCAACCAGGACTTTTTGACTTGAACCAGCATCACCAAGGGTACTGATCAGTTCCCAGTTCATTCTCTGTATTCCCACCCATTAAAACAAAAAATTCACCCTAAAAGAATGACTATGCTGATGGCCCCATGAGTGTAACTGTGGAGTTTCCTTCATCCAGGCAGTAGAGAATGGCTGAATAAATTGTTTCAGATTCAAGTCGCCTCCATTTACAGCCTTCTTTCACAGTTTGAATGCGAGAGAAGCAGTGGTATTTACATTGTTGAGATTCTTCCCTCAATTTCTACTGGATTTCAAATAAGTGGAGGAGCAGAGAGGCATTTGATTTCTCTCTTGGGTAAAGGAAAGTGAGGGAGTCTACTGTCTCCTGATGGCCTTTTCCTGCTGCCTTCGCAGTGTTTTGAGACAAGCGCACAAGGAAATCGCGGGGAGAAGACACAGCCCCAAACCCAGATCTACCTTTTGTAGAGAATACAGAAATTCCCTCTGCGTGTGAGGGCGCTCAGAAATGGGGGGGGGGGGGTCTGCTCACAGGGTCTCTGCCATTTCCCCTTCTCTGGATGGACCGCGCCACGCGTGCCGCTCTCACCTTGGGCATGTGCGGATCATTGATGTCCCAGGTGAGCTTCATCCCATGGGAGCACACAGGGTCCGCGTTCTGCCCGGCGTCCCCCCCCAATGGTGCCCTTTCCCCCCCCCCCCCGCGGGATCCTGAAAGAGAAGAGAGGAGAGGGGCGCACGGCGGCTTTTCTCTCTTTAAAAGAAAGATGTATGTGTGTCTTTTAGAGAGAGAGAGAGAGAAAGAGAGAGAGAGAGAGAGAGAGAGAGAGAGAGAGAGAGAGAGAGAGAGAGAGAGAGAGAGAGAGAGAGAGTTAAAAATCCAGAAGCTGCGCGCTGTAGCTCGGGAGCCAGGCAGAGCCCTGTCCCCGGCTGCGGTGCTGAAGGCACTCGCCCGACCCCAGCATCCCGCACGTTTATAATCGCTCAGGTGCAGCCGCTCCGCCTTTCCTCGCCCCCCTCTGTAAAGTCACCCCCTCTCCGACAGAGCCAGGAACCGAGACATCAACGTTGAGCCGAGCCGGGAAGCCAAGGGAACCTGACGCTAAGGCGCTGGGACGGGGGTGGGGTGGAAACGTCTCATTTAAGTTGCAAACCAGTTTACTTTGAAACTCGCCCAGGCTCCGTGTTTCGGAGAGGGGCTTAGATCTAGGACTTTGGTGTGGAGCTTTTCCAGCTAAGTCCTCCGGGAGCCAGCCCTGAATTCCGGGGCAGCGCGGGAACCCTGGTCCGGGTTTGGAGCTCTTGCGGTTGGTGTTGTGCGTGTCCCGGAGCCTCTGGACTTTCGAGGGGTCACTGGGCGTTCCGTGTGCTGACGAGCCTTGGCGCGCCCAGGCCACCAAGGGCTGCAGGGGGACCTGGCCGGCGGGAAGGGAGTCCGGATGGGGACCCCGAAGGAGGCGGGCGAGATGCGCCGGAGTTAGCTGGCCAGGGCCAGGAGCTGAGCTGGGCGGGCCAGGCGCCTGAGTCGCCAAGAACCTGCGGATCTCTCTGCTGCCTGGACATCCTTCAAGCTGCAGCTTTCGTAACTGCGGGGCCGACGTTGCCAACGCTCTCTAAACACAACTGTTTAAAAATACATACTTATCGATATTGTGGCAATCTCACGACGAAATCTCACTTATTCCATCACAGCCTTGTGAGGCCCCGGGGGCCTGGAGGACCCCTGGCGAGGACGATGTGGTTCCCAGGGCTAGGACCAAGCTGTCTTCACCTATGCGGTCGCCTCACCTACGCGCCCGCAACTGAAGCGACTAAAAGCGCTGCGCTTCCAGAATTTGCTCCCTGAGCTCTTGTCTTGCTGCCCACAGTTTCCAACCCTGGTCAAAGAGAGCCGAGCGTATCACTGTTAGAAGCTGTTCCGTACCAGCACGGCTCTAAGCCTGGAGACCCGCGCCCCGTGCGCAACACCGCGGGATTGGTTCTCCCTGTTGACGCAAGGCGGGAAAGCAGGTGCACCTAAGGCGCGCAACAACCCCAGGCAGCGAGGGATCGTCCACGGTGTCCATCCGCCTGCCTCCCCGGCTAAGGGCACAGTGAAGCTTGCTTAGAAAAATCGATCTTCCTGGCAGCTAAGCAGGTTTCAGAGCAGCTCGCCCAGGGCGGCGGACAGTGAGCTCGTGGGCGCGGGGTGCAGGTGTGCGCGCGGGCGCGGGCGCGCGTCGGAGAGGAAGGTAAGGCCGGCTTTGGGCAGTTCCTCGCGCTTTCTTCTTCCTCTAGCTTGAAGCTGGAGACCTCTCAAGCAAGGGCGAACAGACTTAACGGAAGAAAGTTCTCTTTTTTCCTGAAATGTCGTTGATAGGGATTCTGATTAAAGTCACTCTCAAGTGGTCGCCCGCTCAGGTGTGGTGGGGACAAACGAGCCGACTCTTCACGCTGACTTTCTGATTCCTGCCTGGCTGCCCAGGGTTCCGCCAATTCCTGCCGCTCGGATGCTTTTGTGTTGCTTTTTGTCTTCCACCGCTAGATTAAAACCCTTGACTTTCAATTTTGAATAAATCGATGGTCCGTTAAATGTAATGGTTTGAGATAATACTCTCAAATGTTTTTAACTTCAACAAGTCACTTAAAGCTATCTTTGAGAATGCATAACAATTTCTGGTCTTATGCAAACAACATCAGAAGATTTGTTGCCTCCATTTTTGGAGTGTTCCTAGAGAGTACTCACCTTCCAAAACTGTCACTTTTTAATGTAAAGGAAAATTAGTTGATTTCTAAATGGATTCTAAGTATCTAAAACAGTTACAGAGCCCTTTCCATATTTAGTTGGAAAAGAGTAAGGATATACATTCCAAGTTGCCATAAAGTTACGTTTTACTGATATTACAGTTTTATGAAAGCTGATCAAAATGAAAGTATAATAAATAACTATTGCTATTATGTTTTAATTTTCCAAGAAGGTTTGCAACTGCTACTGTAGAGTTTGGAAGACTATACTCCCCTCTTCCCCCCCTCCCCATCTGAAAATAATTGATTATGAGGCAGGAGATGTGGCTCAGCAAGTTAAGCCTGTGGAGTAGGTTTGAGTCACTGCTGCTCTGCTTCTGATCCATCTCCCTGCTAATGCACCTGGGTTCCCGCCACCCACATGGAAGACGTGCATGGAGTTCCCGGCCCCTGGATCTGGCCTGCCAAGCCCTGGCATTGCAGCCAGTGGGGAGTGAAAATTCTCTCTCCCTCTGCTTTTCATACTAATAATATAAATCTTAAAAAAATTGCTTATGAAATTTTCTACATCCTATTAAGAAAACCTTTCTCTAAACAGTATTGTGATTACTGCTTTTTATTATCTTTCAGTTCTTCCCTGCCCTGATATTTGCATTGATTCAGGATACTTTACACACACCGTCTTGGTTGCTATTTTAATGTTGTAAGAGTCCATTTATTCCAAAGGAAAAGAACAGCCTATGAATTTGCTAGGCTGAGATTAAAATAAGCAAGTGAACGTAAGTAGATTCGCGACCTGAAATACTCGCACCGTCTTGTATAATATAAGTCGATTTTTTACTCAAGGGATGTTTGGATTTGATAGGGTCTTTTCTTTAAAAAAAAAAAAAAAACAACTCCAGCTGAACTTACTTTGCTACCCTATTCATGTAAACCTCCCCCACCATACACACAGCAGGGCACCTAAACAAAACAAAAAGAAAACGTCTCTTTTGTGGTCCTCCTTGCAGGTCTGGTTCCCGCACAAAGCCGTGAACCAAAAACATCTCAGGGACTTCGGAGGGTGGAGAGCGAGCCAGCTTCCCCGGCTCCCGCCGGCCTGGAATTTCGCTAGAAGGAAAATGTCAACCCCGAGGTTCGCATGCTTGGGACCCTCCCTCTCGCTTAAGGCGCGCGCCCAGTTGTCTTCACCTGCGTGTGCTTGTCGGGCGCCCGCCCGTGACTCTCGAGTTGCCAAACCTTGAGCTCCAGTAGAGCCCAGCGGCGGGTTTATAAGTTGGAATTTCTGGAGTGGATGGAATGCGAGAGGCACCTGCGACCGGCCGGGGCTGCGCAGCGTCGGGCAGGGAGCCTCGCGATGCCGCGGGTGAGTGAGCCCTGGGGAACCTGGCGCCCACCGAGCCCGGGCCGCTTCGCCACCGCCCTGCGGGCTCAGGTTTAGCTTGCGGGAGGCGCGGGGTGCAGTCTGCGGCCGCCAGCGCCGCCACGGCCTTGGGTCTGCCTGGGGTGTTTGGGCGGCGGGACGGCAACCCGTGCGCTCAGGGAGGGACCCGAGGGACGAGGCAGGTCTTTTCCAGTTGCTCCGGTTGTTTTCCCGGCCGGGGTCCAGACGCTGGAGTGACCTACGCGACAAGTGACCACCGGTAGGGCGGCGGGGTCGCGGTGCCGCCGGAGCCCCTGCTGGCGTTCTCCGGATGCAATGCTGGTGGGGAAAAAGCGACCCTGAATTTGGGCCCCTTTTTCCACGTTTATGAATGAAGGTGATAGTATTGTAAAATACACTGATATATAAGGGTTTTTGGTCAAGTTCATATGGAAGTAGGACCGTTCGCCACCTCTAGACATTAGAGATTTTTCTTTTAAACTATTGTGTGTGTAGTGCACTTTTAAATTAACTGTTGAAATGGAGGGAGGCGGGGAGATTCTGCCCTTTCATAGGGCATTAATGTGTTACAAAGCCGGGTATCGCTTCATGAAGAAAACGAAGCCGTCACAAATCCTGGGGTTTGATTTTTGAAATTTCTGTATGGGAGCCCTAGAGTATCGCTGAAATTTGTAGGTAAAACAAACTCGGGACTTGAGACACTTGGCTTAATCTTACCTAGCAACCCAGCATCTGAAAATGATTCCTTGTAAACAATTCTGCTTCATAGCCACTACGGTGGAGTTTAGCTTTTTTGTGTGTGATGATTTACTCAAATGTGTTGGGCTGTGCTTGTGGTCTTTGTTCTATTTGTTAAAGATTATGCTAAAAGAGGGCTGGGTAAAGCTCTTCTTAAAAACTGCTGTTTTACTTAGACCTGTAATGAGTGAAATAGGGAAGTAAATCTTGTGTGCAGGAAAACAAAGAAGCCTTCATTTCTTAAAACTTGAAATGCATTGCTTTGGACAACTTTTAAATGTCTTTTTATTGCACACAGAAGAAAAAAGATCCTTCGCAGTCTGTTAAGGAAGATGATGGGGTTGGGAAGACCCAGGATGCTTTTTGGGTAAAGACCAAGTTTTGTTTCTCATTCTTTGTGCGGGTGAGCCCTATCTAGTTCTATCGAGTTCTGGGTTCTCTGTGGGCCACCAGCACAGTGGTTCCTTCGGTTCTCAAGCCAGAAGCAGAGACATCTTTATTTTTCCTTTTCTAATTTCTCACATCCAACTTGTCACTATATCTTGCCAATTATACCTTCAACTTTCCTAGGCTAAAGGACCTTGTGCCCAGTACTACTCTAGATGTAGGTAGCCAGTAGTGAACAAAGCAAGCACAGTTCCTGTCCTCGGAGTTTAGAGACTGGCAGAGAGCCAGGGAAACAGATCACCAGGCAGGAAGGAACGTAGGGCGTTGGGATGGACACTAATTGGAGGTGCAAGGAGGAACCTGGTGGTCCTGGAAGGCCCACAAACCGAGATCAGAGGAGCACGCCATGTGGGAAGTGGGCTTGGAACAGGAATTGCAAGGAAGAGCTGCGTTTATCCTAGGACTTCTGAGTAGGGAAGGTAGATTAAGAAGCGGATAGAGGGCAGATGGCTCAGAGGCCTGCAGCCACAGGTTTAGGTTCATCCTGAGAGGAGGGGAAGCACGGTTTGAAGCCAGCAGAAAGGTGCTGCTGAGTTAGAGATTGTGAGCGTGCCTCCCAGCTCCGTGATGTAGGGAGGCTCAGCCTCTCCCACCCTAGCTGTGATTATTCTGGCCACCTGTTAACAGCTCAGGGGCTGTGAGGACTAAGTGAATACTCGCAGAACACTCATCACACTTGGCACTAAAGACTCGCTTGTAACTTTAAAAAAAGATTGTGTTTAAATGGAGCAATTTTATGTGTTTCCTTCATTTAAACCAGAACTAAGAGTAAGTGAAATCTTGAGCTGCATATACTAAAAGGTTTCCTTATTAAAAATATATAGTAATTTGGTCTGCAGGATTGGACTGGATTTTTTTTTTAAGAGATCTTGACTTTCACAGTAGATCTTCAAGGACATTATGCAAGTGTACATACTTCACTTGATCTTAGCCAAAAGGCCGGGAAGTGATAAGTGTACATACTTAAAATACATCTTGGATAATCCGCTAGCAAATCAATTTCATTATGGCTAATTTGTAAATTCATCAACTTACTTACTTTGTCTTGGTTAGTATTAAGTTTCCTCTACTAGGATCATCTGTGACTTAATGATCACAAACCTGAGGTTTAGTGTTTCACAATTGTCAGAAAACACTTCGATGCATGTGCAGTTTTCGTAAGCCAGGTGGTTCTCTAGCATGCAGCAGGATCACCTGCTGGGCTCCCCCTGACTAAGTGCTAACAAGCACCCAGGTGATGCTAATGCTGCCCACTGGCTTAGGAACCCCGCTTCAATAAGCCAACAGAAACTTTGATCATTTGTTAAATAACTGTTTACTATTCAAGAGACCTCTGTTCTATGTTGACCATGTATTTCACATTGAACTGTTACAATGTTAGAAATATTACTATAAAATGTTCTTGGTAAAAAGTAACTTGCAGAGTATCGCCTTTCCAGCTTCAATCACTTATGACTGATGCATTTGATGGTAAAGGATTTCAGAAAATCGAAGAATACTTTCAACAGAAAGAGAGCCATTATCCTCAAAAATACAGTCACCTTCTACTACACCAACTTGGTAGAGCCATAAATAAGGCAAGTAAACTTTGGTTTGTGTTGTGGACAAAGTACCTATGTATAACTGGTGATGAGAGTTGTAATACAGTGTGGTCTAATCCTTAGGAACTGGATCAAAATGCGTTTGGGCATGTTTCCCTGCTTCTGAAATGCGTTCAGCGGTTCTTCAGAGACGACCCCAAAGAAGATGAGCCTTTGCTGATTCAGCAGGGTCTGATCCCAAAGATAAGTGTCAGATTTTAATTGTATACAGTGCTGGGTGACTTAAAGAGCTAGGGTGGATTTAGCTGTCTAGCTACATTTGTATGTTCCTTTGAGATCAAATCAGAAAAGAAATTGGTATCCATTCCAGTGTTTCCCAATGTATATGCTGGGGAGTGCTGAGGACTGAGTCACCCACACCTCATCAATGAGTGTTTCATTATTTCAGTAAATTGGGGGTGGGGTAGACAGGGAGTAGGCTATGTAACTATTTCAGTAGACTTCATGAACAAGATTAGACCTAGAAATATCACCAAAAACTTTGCCTATATAACACTGTCCTTTCCCCACTTTCTAACTCCTGGATAAATCTGGAAAAACAAATAGCAAACACATTTTGGTTTAGTCAGTCACTCCAGTCATAAAATCTTAACTTAAAAAAAAAAAACAGAAGACCTTTTCCAACAGCATCAAGGAGCACAGCAGAGGTTGCAAAATCCCTGCAGTCCTGAGACTTGATTACTGGCGAGGAGGTGGGAAGATGGCCAGGTGGGTAGCAGTCTTTGATTTACCTCCTGGGCTGCTGTACCTGGAACTTATTAAGGCCAGCTTGAGCTAAGAATGTCTGTAGCATCCTCTGTCACTCATTTGGGGGGCTGCCCCAGGAGAAGGCAAACTGCAGGACTTTCCAAATTCCTCCCAGGGACTTCCAGTGTCTTTAAGGCCTCTCAAAGATCATGGGTATGCGAACAGTTTGCATTCCATTTGGTATTCAACCCCCCCTTAACCCCCAGATATACAAAGTCCTGCAGACACCAGGAAGCAGGGAAGAGGAGATAAAACCCCAGAGGAATCAGAGCAGGGTGTCATCCTAAGGGGAAGTTTGACACTTCTTGGAGCGTAGGTTGTAATATGTCCCCATCTGATTTCCCTACTTAGATTTAAGAATGCCCTCCCAACATTGATTACGTGTCAACATCAAATATTCACTGGAGTTTTGAAGTCAACTAGGAATTTCTAGATTCCATTGGAATTCTAGTTGGTGAATAAAAATTTCATAACCATAATTGGGCACTTCCTAAAATGTATACTTTTTCATGTAATCATTGGCCAAGGAGAAGAGATGGATAATATCAAAGCAATATGCTAGACTTGATATTTGTAAATCCAGTTATTTGCTTGGAGGTTATTCATAGAATAAGAATTTCCTACAGGAAGGATTTAGTTTTATGCTCTAGGATCTAGGAGAATTAAACAGCTTGTCCTAGATCATATTAAGTCATTGCTGTCCTGCCTGACTTCTAACAGACACAGCTGTGGGGACCATGAGGGCATCTGTTAGATAAGGGACGGTCCTTATTCCCAAGTATAGGTCAGATAATGTGGCATTTCCCTGCTCACTTTGAATGCCTGTGCTCATCAAAATACATTTGGGGGCTGGGATGGAGCTGAAAGATCGGCTTTGGTCGGGGCTAGGTAGAATAGTGACAAATACTTAAAACATAGTCCTTTGATAGGACTGGCATCGTGGCGTAGCAGGTAATGCCACTTGCTGCCTATGATGCTGGTGCCCCATATGAGTGCTGGTTCAAGTCCCAGCTGTTCCACTTCCGATCCAACTCCCTGCTAATGGCCTGTGAAAAGCAGTGGAAGAAGTCCCAAGTGTTTGGGCCCCTGCCATCCATTTGGGGACCCTGATAGAGTTGCAGCTTCTGGCTTCACCCTTGCCTTTGTAACCATCTGAGGAGTGAACCAGTGAATGGAAGATGTCTCTGTCTCTGAATTTGTATTTCAAATAAATCTTAAAGGTGGGCTCTCCTAGTCAGATGAGGTCACCTCCTGAGGCAAGTACCTGGGGTAAGTTACATCACAATGATATTTTAAAGCATTTTGAGCATGAATTCAAGGAGGGAGAAAATACAGCTTTAATAGTGGTGGGTGCTCAGAAGGCAGATGATTCAATCTTTTTTATTCTATTTTTTTTTAAAGATTTACTTATTTGAAAAGCAGATCTCTAGAGAGACAAAGATGTTCCATCCGCTGGTTCACTCCACAAGAGCCATGGCTGTACCAAGGCAAAGCCAGGATCCGGGAACCCCATCCAGGTCTCCTACATGGGTGGCAGGGGACCAAGCACTTAGGCCATCATCTGCTTTCCCAGGGGCGTTAACAGGGAGCTGGATGGGAAGCAGTATAAAAAGGGGTACAGATTGTTGCCACCTCACACGGGGCACCAAATGTAAGGAAACGGGTGCAGAACAGAGAGGAGACAGGGTACAGACTCACAGCCAGACTGAATGTTCAAAGAAAAAGACTTGCATAGATTGACTGTCAGTGTGCACCCAGACGGAACGTTTGGCAGGGAGCTTATACTTAGGTGGGCCAGGGGTGCGGGTGGGGGCCAGTAGGTGGAGGTGAATTCCTTCATATAGGCTCTTCAAGTTTGGCCCCTGGTTTCCAAACCTGGGGAAGAATGCAGGGGGTGGGGTGGGGAACAATAGGGTATGAAATGAATTGGGACTTGGGAATAAGGGATAAATTCATCTTTTTTTAACCTATCCTTTGGGCAGTGAGCTACAATGGCTGAGGCTTATGTCTTTGCTCCATCAAGTTGAGCAGCTGGGATCTGAACCAGTCCTCGGATATGGGATGCCAAAATGGGATTCCGGCATTGTAGGCAAAGGCTTAACCCACCGTGCTGTAATGCTGGGCCCCAGGCGATGTTGAAATTGACTATTTTTCTGATTTGAATAATAGAAACATTACTTGAGACACAGTGGCTCTCAGACCTTGCTGTACATTAGTCACCTGGAGAGAGTTAACCCTGGGCTTCATCGCCAGCGGTTTGGATATCCTGGGTCTGGGGTGGGTCCCAGGCATGGGAGAGGGCGAAGGAGGAGTTCCAAAGCTCTCCAGGTTTTCTCAATGCCCATCCAAGGCTGAGGTCTGATTGGTCTGTTTGTAATGTTCAGCTGAGTGCTTCTGGTTCTTGGCTCCAAAGTGCAGCATTTTTAAGACTCTGTAAAGGGTTGTTTATCAAAAGCTCGTGCTGCTAGCTTCATGCTCCGTGGATGAGTTCCAACTATGTGTGCAGGACTTTCTCTGGCAGGTCTCAGCAAAAATGTTCCATGGATGGCCTTTGCTCTATTGAATAAACATAGTCTAGGAAGGTGACAGAAGTTTGTTTTAAATTATGCCAATCCGAGCGACTGAATGTTTGCATGAAAAAACCAGACCTCCGATTAGTTGGCAGTGTTTGACATAGGTCCCAGCCCTGGCTACCTGTCTTATCTACTGCAACCAGGAGAACTTCCAGGGTGCTTTCCAAAATCTATATGTCCTTTGATACCTTGTTTTCTACAGCTTCTTGGATCACCAGGTTTTTCCCTGGTTCATTGACCTTTGTCCTGTCTCACCAGCCCCTTTCTGTAGCTTTCTGGCATCCACCCTAGCCAAGTCTTCAATTCCTGCTGAAAACCTGAGAGCTTAGTACAATTCTGGAGCAGCCCAGCTCCATTCTTAGTGTTCCAGGTAGGAGGCCTGAGAGCCAGGCCCAAATGGCAATGTTATGGCATGGAATAGGGTCTTGAGGCCTATTTTGGTCTATTGCAAAAATGGCCTTGTGAAATTTTATTGAATGACTGCAATTATTCAGTCCCATGTGGTTCCATCAGTGTTTTCTCTCCTGAGTACATAGTTTCCTGGTTCGAAAGAACAACAGGATTTCTGATCATGGAAGACCTAGCCTCGGATGCATCGCTCATCAGTGCCGTAGGAGACTTCCTTGACACTGCCGTGGTAAGGATCGGGTGCTTTCCTGGGCACGTGCCCTTGGAAATCTCCAAGCTATTTACAAAGCCTGATTATCCATAAGATGGGAGTTTTGCTAAAAGACTCTATCAGAATATTATGTGAAAGTAACAAACATTGATCACACACACTCATTGTTAAAGAAAAATGAGAGTTGTTTATTGTCATAAATATTCACCTGATTGCTATGTTCATTTTTATTAAAGTGATTGAAGCTCCCATACACTTTCTCAAGTTCTTTTTCAAGTCTACCTCTGTCCATTAATCAACATTAGCACCAATGTTACAGTTTATAATGCTGTTTTAGAATAACAGCTGTATCCTTTCTTTCTCTTTATTAGATTATTTCCAGGAGTAGTAGTCAAGGTAAGTATATTGTTGGCTACTAACTGGCTACTGAGTTGATACAGAGAATAATTTGGATATAAGTAATGTGGGTTCAAACATTATATTTGGACTTACTGACCAGGCATATTACAATGTTGAAACAACATGCATTTTGTTGTAAGAGAATGTCTAATTGCCTGGCTACATTTTCTTTAGTTGCTGCTGTGACCATCTTGCTACTTGGTTGTATTTGGACCTGAGAGGCACACTAGCCAACTTTAGCTATTGCTGATTTAACTTGCTGATTGAGATGCCGTTCTCTTTTAAAAGTGTAAAGCCAAAAATTTCAGAACATAGAGGCATTAGAATTTCTCACCATTCTGGAGGCTGGAAATATGATCAGGGTGCCAGCATTGCTGGGTCCTGGGGTGTATTTTTCTTCAGGATCCTCATTGTGTCCTCATAGTGGGGAGAGAGCCGCCAAGCTGTATCTCTTACAAGGGCCATATCATATCACAAAGTCCCATACTTATAATGTCACATAACCTGATTAAGTCCCAATAGCCTGTCTCAAATACCATCAACTTCAGGGTTCAATGTGTGAATTTGAGAAGGGCACACACTTCAGTCGGTAGCAGTGAAAGTTTGTGCCTGGAGCCCACTCTGGGTAGAGGGCCTGGCCTCTTGCAAGATTTCCCTGTGTGTCCTCTGACGGCCACCTTGAGTGGGTGTCATGCCCAGGTTCTATGGAGCTGACTTCTAATCCTTCTCTCTGAAGTACAAACGTGTTTTCATGGACCTGCATACCTCATCCTGCCATTGGCAGAATGAATCCCCTCTCTGCTCTGAGACTAGGGTATCCTCCTGCCTGCATTCCATTTTCAGCATTCCTTTGTTTTGTGTGTTGCTTTGTAGATAATGTTTTCTTTCAGTCTGTCCCCCTCTAGAGGTTTGAATGGCTTATGTGGTTTTATTCTTCCGTCCTTACTCCATTTAATCACCAACATAAAAATGATAGTGTCTTATTTTTATAGTATATGGCAAAGAATTTAACATGTTTGTATTTCTTCCCCATCTTCTATTGAGTTTTAGGCTCATAAGATGTATCTTTTTTTTTTTTTTTAAAGCTTTTATTTAATGAATGCAAGTTCCACAGGTACAACTTTAGGAATATAGTGGTTCTCCCCCCCCCCATACCCACTCTCCCACCCTACCTCATCCTCCCTCTCCTGTCCCATTCTCCATTAAGATTCATTTTTAATTAACTTAATATACAGAAGACCAACTCTAAAGATTTCAGCAATTTGCAAATGGAGTATCTTTGTAACTATCATTTGCTTTGTCTTGTGTTCCAACATCATTGACAAGTTACTTAGGGCTTTTTTTTTTTTTTTAAACCAACCCCCTTTGTGTCATGATGTTCCCATATTTTCGTTCCTTATTCTGTCTTCATGAGCTGTTTTATTTTGGAGAGCATTGCTACAGTGTGAGTGGGACATGGTCAGAGCTTGTGATCATGTGAGTCTTTCTGGCTTCTGAACAATATAATTCTTCAGGCTGTCCACTTTATAACCTTGTTTTGTCGCCTTATTAATGGTTGTGAGCACATACACACATGCATTTGTATGGTAATTGATGACTTATTTTGAATCAATTGTTAGGAAAGCATTTTTCCTAGATACTTTGATCAGTTAGACTAGGGTTTCCTCTACTTTGGTGTTGCCGACATTTTGAGCCAGGTAATTCTTCTGTTGTGGGGGCCGTCTTGTACATGAAGGGTAGTTAATAGCATCCCTGCCCTCCACTTGCTGGATGCCAGAAACATCCCAAACCTGTATCATGACAACCGAAGACATCTTCAGCCACTATGGAGTTGTCACCTGGTGGGCAAAATTCCCTACAGTTGAGAATCACTGAGCTAAAGTGCTTCTGGTGTATGCAACAGAACATCTGGTTCAAATGGGCATGGATGATAAAAGAACTTCTTGACTCAAGGAACTGAGAATCCAGAGGGGAAGTTTCGGAGCAGTTTCGCTGTAACTCTTTTCCACTTCTCTGCAGTTCTTCCCATTCTGCCTTCCTCAGTCTGTTCTGTGTTCTCAAGTTGGTTTCTCTTGGTGGTTGCAAGATGCCAGCAATGGAAGCTTTGTGCTTCCTGGTTCACAGCTGGGAGAAATATTCTTTATCAAACGAAAGTCCTAGTTTTGCTCTGGTTGGATTCCCTGCTACTTAAACCAGTCAAGGTGAAAAGATGAGTGGTCTGTCTGTCCCTCCATGTCACTTAAGGCAGTCGGGCTTCACCCCTGGAGCAGGTCTGTCCCACCTGACTAGTATGGCTGCTGCATAACAGGTGGAGGAAAGCAATGTCTGCTAGTACATGATGGATGTTCTTTCTGCTCTTTGTGAGGTTGCTGTAATTCACCTGTTGCATCTTTGTTTTTATCTTCCTATATACCATTTTCCCCTGTGCATTTTGATAGCCGTTCTTTTTTTTTTTTTTTCAATTTGTATTTTTGCTATTTAATTGATGCACACTGAATTATAGTTTTGATGGTGTTTTCAGGATCTCTGTAATGCAAAGTACATCTGGCTCACGTTAAATGATGACTTTCTATGTCTTCATGACTCAATTTTGGTAGATTGTATGTGTCTAGGAATCTATCCACTTCTACTAGGTTTCCTAATTTGTTGGCATACAGCTCTTTGTAGTAATTCCTGATGATTCTTATTTCATTGGGATTTGTTGTTACATTTCTTTTTCACTTCTAATTTTATTGATTTGGGTCTTCTCCCAATTTTTTCGTGGTTAATTGTGTCAATGGTGTATTAATTTTATTTTTCACAAGACCAGCTCTTCATTTCACCAATTTTTTGTATTTTTGTTTCAATTTTGTTTATTTGCTAATTTTAATTATTTCTTTTCTCCTACTAATTTGGGTTTGGCTTGGTTTTTAGGTCCTTGAGATGTACTTATAGCTCATTTATTTGGTACCTTTCCAATTTCTTCACATAGGCACCAATTGCTATAACCTTCCCTCTTAACACTCCTTTTGTTATATCCCATTTTTTATATGATATATTCATTTGCTTTCAGAAATTTTTTTATTTCTCTCTTGATTTCTTCTATGACCCACCATTCATTCAGGAACATGTTGCTCAGTTTCCATGTGTTTGCATATGATCTAGAGATTCTTGAGTTGTTGATTTCCAGTTTTATTCCATTGTGGCCAGAAAAGACACATTGTATTATTTCAATTTTTTTGAACTTATTGACACTTGCTTTATGGCCTAGCATATGCTGTATTCTAGAGAATGCTCCATGCACTGATGAGAAGAATGCACATTCTGCCACTGTGAGGTGAAACGTTCTGTAAATATTTGTTAGGTCCATTTGGTCTATAGCGTCAATTAACTCTGTTGTTTCTTTGCTGATTTTCTGTCTTGTTTATGTGTCCATTGCTAATAGTGGGGTGCTGGTTCCCTGTTACTATGTGTTGCAGTCTTTGCCTCACTTTAGATCCATTAACATTTATTTTAAATAGCCAGGCAGCCAGGCACCTTGTATTTAAGTATGTATATATTTCTCACAGTCACATCTTCCTGTTAAATTGATCCTTTTTTTTTTAATCTTTTATTTAATGAATATAAATTTCCAAAGTACGACTCATGTGTTACAATGGCTTCCCCCCCCATACCGTCCCTCCCACCCACAACCCTCCCCTTTCCCACTCCCTCTCCCCTTCCATTCACATCAAGATTCATTTTCGATTATCTTAATATACAGAAGATCAGCTTAGTATACCTTAAGTAAGTATTTCAACAGTTTGCTCCCACACAGAAACATAAAGTGAAAAATAATAGATGATTTTTTTTTAAATGATGATGAAATCAGATCAGACCTATTGTCATGTTTAATCCCAGTGAGAGTCAAGTTGGGAATTGATAATTTCTTTCTTTTTTTTTTTTTTTTTTTTTTTACAGAAGATCAGTTTAGTGTACATTAAGTAAAGATTTCAGTCGTTTGCACCCCCATAGAAACACAAAGTGAAATATACTGTTTGAGTACTCGTTATAGCATTAAGCCTCAGTGTACAGCACGTTAAGGACAGAGATCCTACATGAGGAGTAAGTGCACAGTGACTCCTGTTGTTGACTTTACAAATTGACACTCCTGTTTATGGCATCAGTAATCTCCCTATGCACCAGTTATGAGTTTCCAAGGCTATGGAAGCCCCTTGAGTTCTCCGACTCTTATCTTGTTTAGACACGGTCATAGTCAAAGTGGAGGTTCTCTCCTCCCTTCAGAGAAAGGCACCTCCCTCTTTGAAGACCTGTTCTTTCCACTGGGATCTCACTCACAGAGATCTTTTTGCCAGAGTGTCTTGGCTTTCCATGCCTGAAATACTCTCATGGGCTTTTCAGCCAGATCCGAGTGCCTTTAGGGCTGATTCTGAGGCCAGAGTGTTGATAGCCGTTCTTGAGTCATCACTTGAGTTCTGTTCTTGCTGCTTCTACTACAGACTTCAGTTCTGCAATCCCGTCTTTGTTTCCTTGAAACTCATGGCTGGTGGTGACCTGCTTCTGCTCCCAGGTCCATTCCCCATTGTCTCTCCCTGCATAGAATCCCTAGGTGTGTTTTTCCAGCTGACAGCCTGCTAGAATAGTCCCTGTGGCTCTGGTCCATTTGTGCCAATAGCTTTTTTTTTTTTTTTTAAATATTTGTTTGAAAGGCAAACTTACAGAAAGAAAGAGACAGAAACCTTCCATCCACTGATTTGTTCCCCAAATGGCCACAACAGTTGGGGCTGATCCAGGCTGACACCAGGAGCCTGGAACTCCATCTGGGTCTCCCCTGTGGGTCACAGGGGCCAAACAGTTGGGCCATCATCAACTGCTTTCCCAGGCACATTAGTAGGGAGCTAGACTTTAACCTGAGCTACTGGGTCTTGAACTGGTGCTTGTATGGGATGCTGGCATTGCAGGCGGTGGCCATGCTGGCCTCACCAGTAGCTTTTGCTAGGTGGCCTGAACTCCTGGGATCTGCTAATACCACTTCCTCTTTGTGACACTCCAGCCCCTAGAGGGTAGGAAGTAGCTTTCTGTTGAGATTAATCTCTGGACTACCTCACTGTTTCCAGTCTGGTTTCCCAGCTCTACTATTGTCTTTAGGCTAATGCCTTGTTAAATTCCTCCAAGTTGAAATAGCTAGAATAGTTTCAATTTTTCTTATAGCATCTCTTATTTATGTATCTCTTCACTTTAGACTATTGCCTTCTCTAGCAAAGCTAATTTTTTTAAAGATTGATTTATTTGAAAGAGTTACAGAGAGAGAAGAGAGGCAGAGAGAGAGGTCTTCTGTCCGCTGGTTCACTCCCCAGATGGCCACAATGGCCAGAGCTGCGCCGACCCGGAGCCAGGAGCCAGGAGCTTCTTCCAGGTCTCCCACACAGGTGCAGGGGCCCAAGGACTTGGGCCATCTTCTACTGCTTTCCCAGGCCATAGCAGAAAGTTGGATTGGAAATTGAGCAGCCAGGACTAGAACTGGCACCCATATGGGGTGCCGCGCTTCAGGCCAGGGCATTAACCTGCTGTGCCACAGGGCTGGCCCCCAACAAAACAAATCTTTTTAAGACTTAATTTGAAAGTCAGAGTTAGAGAGGAGAGAGGGAGAGAGGGATACAGAGTAAGAGGAGAGGTCCTCTATCTGCTGGTTCACTCCCCAAATGGCCACAATGGCCAGGGCTGGACCAGGCTGAAGCCAAGAGCTTCATCTGGATCTCCCCTGTGGGTGCAGAGGCCCAAGGACAAGCCATCTTCTACTTTCCCAGGCACATGAGCAGGGAGCTGGATCAGAAGTAGAGCAGCTGGGACTTGAACCAGTGCTCATGTAGGATGCCAGCATTGCAAGTAGTGGCTTAACCCTTTATGCTACAATGCTGGCCCCAAAGCTAATCTTTTATCACCGAACTCACTGTGAGAAGACAGATTGGATGCTTCCTAGATCTTTGCTTCCTGAAGTAAGCGTTTTTCATGTCACTTCTGCCTCTTGAGCCATCACCCTTTTCTCTCTTTAACAGCCACATGCTGTTGGTTTCTCCTACTAATCTTAAAATAGAATGACACCTGGCATTTGCTGGTCAGCAAGGTGCACAAATACTTTAAAGGTCTCTCACTGTCCAGCTGGGTTCCAGAGATCACCTGGCAATATCCATGGAACTATTTTGGACTGAAGAGGGGTCTTCTATATTTCTGCTTCCTGGTTTGGGTTCCTATTTCTTGAGCTTGTAAGGAAAAGACAGGACAAAGAGGAGGCATGCTATGAACCCACAGCCAGATACAAGTTTAGTAAGGGAATAAAGCTGAGAGGTGGCTCATTATTGGCCCGTATACAGGTGAATACATAGCGGATTATATAATCCTTGTCTATATAATCCTCCTCTATATAGACAAGGCAGCTGAGGGTCACCAGGGAGAGGGTGTTAGGTGACAATGATCAGTTTGTGTGGGCTAGTAAGACTGAGGCAGGGTTGAGCTGGTTTGAGGAAGAATGCAGGGGGCTCGGTAGCCCTTGCAGGATTGGATCTGCTGTCAGTTATGTGTGCAAGGAATTAAAATGGCTCTAAGGCTTATGTCCTTGCTCTGTCAGAGTTAAAAACTGCAAATATGAATAATTGGCATATCTAAATTCTACATCTGAGCCTCTCCAAGTTCTGTTAGAACACTATCATGAATTTTACAATTGTCATTTGATGTCATAACATGTGTATGAAAAACGTGTTTTTGTTTAGTAAACATAAAATAGTACTACATAGCCTGGTTCTTCTCACTGTGTGCTGACATATGAAGAGCTGTTGAAGTTTCTGTGATTCGCTATTTAGTTAAGGCCAACACTTCATTTAAAAATGCCTACTTAGGGGCAGAGGTTTAGTCTTGCTTAAGATGCTCACGCCCTGTGTCTGGTGTGATTCCTGGCTCTGCTCCCGATTCCAGCTTCCTGACAACGTATACCTGGGTGACTGTAGGTGATGGTTCAGATGGCTCAGTCCCTACCATTCACAGAAGAGTCCTAGACTGAGTTCCTGGTCTGTTCCTCCCATTTTGGACATTTGGAGAGTGAAGCAGCTGACGAGAGCTCTGTCTTGCTCTCAATGCTTGCTTCTCTGTCAGTGTAAGACTTTGCACAATTTTCATTTTTATACACAAATGCAGGAAGCACATCTAAACAACTGGAGACTGTAGGAGCTGCACATCTTAGTCCAGGTAAACAGCTTTGCGTGAGGTTTGTTCAGAGCATAGTTGCACTGCACGTCCTGCTGTTTTCCTTAGTGGCCACCTATGTGGCCTTGGGGTTTCTTTCTTTGCAAGGCAAAATGGCAGTGTGAGGTAGGGGGCAGGAAGAGAGTGATTCTATCCACTGGTTTATTCCCCAAATGGCTACAACAGCTATATCTGGGCTGGGTCAAAGCCAGGTGCCAGGAACTCCATCCTGGTCCTGTACATGGGTGGCAGGGGCCAAAACACTGGGACCATTATCTACTGCCTTCCTAGGCTCAATAGCAGGGAGTTGGATCAGAGGCAGATTAGCTGTGAGGAAAACTATCATTCTGATATGGAATGCTGGTTTCACAAGGGGCAGGTTGGGGCCAGTGCTATGGCTTAGTGGGTAAAGCCACCACCTGCAGTGCTGGCATCCCATATGGGTGCTGGGTCATGTCCTAGTTCTTCCACTTTTTTAATATACAGAAGATCAATCTAGTGTATACTAAGTAAAGATTTCAACAGTTTGCACCCACACAAAGTATAGAGTACTGTTTGAGTAGTAGTTATACTGTTAATTCATAGTACAACACATTAAGGACAGAGATCCTACATGAGGAGTAAGTGACTCCTGTTATTGATTTAATAATTGACACACTCATTTATGATGTCAGTAATCACCCGAGGCTCTTGTCATGAGCTGCTAAGGATTTGGAAGCCTTTTGAGTTTGCCAACTCTGATCTTGTTTAGAAAAGGCCATAATCAAAGTGGAAGTTCTCTCCTCCCTTCAGAGAAAGATACCTCCTCCTTTGGCCCCTTCTTTCCACTGGGATCTCACTCGCAGAGATCTTTCATTTAGGTCACTTTTTCTTTTTTCTTTTCCCATGGTGTCTTGGCTTTCCATGCCTGAAATATTCTCATGGGCTTTTCAGCCAGATCCGCCTGCCTTAAGGGCTGATTCTGAGGCCAGAGTGCTGTTTAGGACATCTGCCCTTCTATGAGTCTGCTGTGTATCCCACTTCCCATGTTGGATCGTTCTCTCCTTTTTAATTCTATCAGTTAGTATTAGCAGACACTAGTCTTATGTGATCCCTTTGACTTAGTCCTATCATTATGATCAATTATGAACTGAAACTGATCACTTTGACTAGTGAGATGGCATTGGTACATGCCACCTTGGTGGGATTGAATTAGAATCCCTTGGCACATTTCTAACTACCATTAGGGGTAAGTCTGGTTGAGCATGTGCTGAACTACATGTCTCCTCCCTCTCTTATTCCCACTTATTATATTTTTTGGCATGAATTTGATTATTTTAAAATGTACTTTCAGGGAAAATTCAGATGTTGGATTCCTTCATACTCAGCTTAGGATTCCTGGTGACAGAAAAGACTATAAGTCATTTGATTCAACAAGAGGTGAGTTGTAAATAAGAAAACAGATAACAAGAGCTCCAGAAGCCTCAAAGAAGGCTGTGCATAGGTCTCTGTTTTCTTTCTTTCCCATGAATGCCTTATCCAATTCTGAAAAGGCTGTGAGGACTTTGAACTTCATTTTGCAAGCTGTACCTCGGGAAGAGAGGAGAAAACTTCCTCTGTCAGAAAGCGTGTGTCGTCTTATGTAAGTAATCTTGTCCTGTTATGTGATGTTAGACAAAATCTCATCGTGGTGTTACTTCAGTCTGTCTTCTTACATGGATGACTTCTGCCTTTAGTAAGTGCTTTGTGTACCTGCAATGCACGCTAGGCAATGAAGGAGAACTGAGGAAAAGAGGCAGACTTTGCTCCTGTTTTATTATGGGTTGTTTCGATTCATCTTAAAACACAAGGTGAAATCCTTTCTCAGGCTATCAATTCTTTCTCATTGTGAATGTGACCTCGAGTAGTGACTCTGGGAAGAATGCGGAGACTGCATGATCTTCAGATCCTAGCTTTGCCCCTCCTGCTGGTTGCATCCGAGCACAGCTTTATTCTCTGTACTTCAGGCTGCTCCCCTGTAGATGGCAGTCGGCAACAACTCCCTGAAATTATTGGAGCGGTCAAGTGAAGCAGTCTATTAACACGGTCTGCACGCTGCCGTGGAGAAAGGCTATGCTCTGAGATTGCCAGTTATTTATCAAAGCAGTAGGGCGTGGCATTTGTATTGCTTTGCAAGTAATGGAGTTTTGGGTGACGTGGTTATAGCTACATAATCGTTGCAGCATGAAGTTTGGAAGTAAGGATATAATCTGACTATGGGAAGAACAAAACTAGCACTGTTCTGAAATTTGAACTCAAGAGGGTGACCATGGTAACTGCTCACCAGCATGGAGTATGTCATGCATATGCCATGCAGCTGTGACTGGCGAGTTCACCATGGTGTAGAACTGAAGGAGGCGGCGACTGTGTAGCTCCTTGACATCATGTTTGTCCATGTCACTCGTCATTTTTACCCTGGATTTTTCCTAAATTTTTTTTCATTGAATACATTAGTGAAATCACTGCCTTTAGTGTTTTTAGATTGGAAGAGCAGCTGAGCTGAGGTTTTCCTCCTAAAATTTCAGACTAATCCTATGGTCATGCTATCTGTATATTCAGGAGTCTGAATTGTTCTGGACTTCAAGAGTGAGACCTGCAAGTGTAAAGTTAAGCAGAGCCTTAGTAGTACTGTTTTAAGGCTTTTATTGAATAGTAACAGATCAATCCACTTATGAGAAACTAAGCTATCACAAGATTTCTTAATCTCCTCTTTAAAATGGGAGTTACTTTAGACATTAAAGAAAGGTCAATGCCACATTTCTTAACTTTTACTTGAAATTCTTAATATATGCAGGTACTTAAAGTTTGTGGAAAATGAAATTAAAAGATTATTTTTGGTATAAAAATTTGGAAGTCTTATGCACAGATTTTCATATTAGGCACTTTTTGTGAATTTTTTTGTAAAGATTTATTTGTCAGAGATTGATCAGTCTTCCATGTACTGGTTCACTCCTCAAAGTATTGCAATAGTCAAGCCTGATCCAGGCTGAATCTAGGAGCCCAGAACTCCATCCAGTTCTCTCATCTGGGTGCCAGGGACCCAAGTATTTGGGCCATCCTCCTCTGCCTTTCCAGGCATATTAGCGGGGAGCTGGATCAGAAGCAGAGCAGCTGGGACTCAAAGCTGTGCTCCGATATGGGATGCTAGCTAATGTCACAGGTGGTGGCTCAACCTGCTGCACCATGATGCCAGACTCTTTATGAACTTTAAGACCCCCTCTCATGTATGAATCTCACTTTTTGGTGCTAATATAAAACTATCCTTTAATTGTTTCCCACAAACTTTTGGAAGTAACCTCATACAGTATAGGAGTCTATGTTTTGGTATGGTAATAACTTAATCTCATCACACATCTACACTGATCAGTTTTTAAAATTGGATCAAATGAATCAGAAGAGGGACTCGCATGGCTGTCTCACCTGTTCCAGGTGTCAGACTATGTAAAAAGTCATAAGCCCTCACAGGCTGCTGGAGTGGTTATAAAACCTCAGTCATAGCATTGGATGCATCCTCAGATGATCAAAATGAATTCAACTTCATTAGGGGGAACTAGAACCTCAGCAGGTAGAGTTCTAGCTTCCTAAAAATCATGCATTGGTCTCTCATCAGTAAACTCCAGAAGGTTTCCAGAAAAATCTGATACTGATAGGTCGATGCTGAATTTGAAATCGTTTCAAAAATGTATATCTTGGTCTTAAAATATAATGCCGGTTTAATAAGATTTTGCCACTTGATGTTCATTTCAGTAAAATGTAATCTATCTAAATGTTTCAGGAAAGACTTTGCAAGGACCATCTTAACTGTGGGTGGTAAGACTTTTTAAATACTTAGTATACTAAATGTAAGCATCTTGGAACTCAGAATAAATCACAATCAAGCTCTTTAAATCGGTATTAGAATTTTATTCTTAATTTATTGATGTTTGCATCCTGAACACTAATAATCAAGAATTACACTAATTTGCCAGTCAGCTTTATTAAATTTTAGCATTTTGCCACATCTACTTCAGTTTGTTTTCTTAAAAGAAATCAAAACTAGGGAAATTGCCTTGTGTTCCTGTCCCTAATCCTGTTCCCCTCTTTGATTTAGATTAGATTTGTTTATTCCCAAGCAACTTTTTCTGCATTTTCTGTTTTCATAAGCAACCTACATTATAGTTAAGAAAATTTTAATTTTTTAAACACAATCAGTTTTAACTGATTTAAGTTTTTATTTTATTGGAGAGACAGACAAGTAGAGTTCCAATCCGCTGTTTATTTCTCAAATGCCCACACCAAAAACTAGGAGCTGGGGTCATCGCTGTAGCATAACAGATAAAGCTGCCGTCTGCAGCACAGGCATCCCATCTGGGAGCTGGTTCAAGTCCTGGCTGCTCCACTTCCAATCCAGCTCTCTGCTAATGTGCCTGGGAAAGCAGCAGAAGATGCTCCAAGTCTGTGGGCCCCTTAAGCCATGTAGGAGACCCAGAAGAAGCTCCTGGCTTTGGATTAGCCCAGCTCTGGTTGTTGCAGCCATTTGGCTCTTTTTCTGCTTGTCTAACTCTGCCTTTCAAATAAACCTTAAAACAACAAAAACTAGGAGCTAGAAACTCAATCCAGGTCTCTGTGGGTGGCAGAGAGCCAGCCACTTGAGCTGTTACCTGCTGCCTCCCAGGGTCTGCAGTAGCAGGAAGCTAGAACCAGGAACAGAGCTAGGACCCAAACCTACACACTCCACGTGGCATATGGATACCCCAACTGGTGGCTTACCCACTGGGAAAAATGCCTATTCCTGAGAAGTATATAAACGGCATCCTATTGGACATATTTTGCTGCAACTCCCTCTTTAGCTTTCTTTTTCTTAATTTTCATTTTTTAAAAGATTTATCTTTTATTTGAAAGGCAGAGGTGGAGACAGAGGGAGAGACACATCTTGGACCTGCTGGTTCACTACCCAAATGGCCACAATGGCTGGAGCTGGGCCAGACCAAAGATGGAAGCCAGGAACTTCAGCTCTGTCTCCCACGTGGGTGCTGGGACCCGAGCATTTGCTGCTTTCCCAGTATCGTTAGCAAGGAGCTGGATGTGAAGCGGAGCAGCCGGGAGTTGAACAGGCACCTATATGGGATACCTTCGCTGCATGCGGGGGCTTAACCTGCTATATAGCCCCTGATTTTTTAGATTTAAACATGTTGATATATGTAGTTTTTAGTGTCTTCTGTGAAATATATTAAGTTATCTTAGGATTTTGTAGAATAAATATTTTTAGAGCTATTTAATGAACTGCTTTTGGTGTGTTTTTAAATGTAGCAAAAATAAACCCATAACTAATTTTTGAAAAACTTATATATAGTTGACTTATTGGTTAGATTTTTCTCCCACCATTTCTTGATTATAATTTGAATGATGATCATTACTCCAGGATATATCTTGCTCTACATTTGTGTGACAGAATGCTAGACTTTTAAGGTGAAATCTGTAAGGGCAAGTGCTATCTCTGGAACTCATTTCCTTTTTTGCTTTGTGTCCAGAATTATCAATGTCTGCCATGTTTTGACCTCTAGATTATGACCAGCAGGTTTCAATCTCTGAAACCTTGTGTAGGCTGACAACTAAAACAGCAAGGCAGGAACTTGTCCATCAGTGGTTTGAGGATGATGCCATTGCTGAAGCCTTCAAAGAAATTAAGGATCGAGAATTCGAGACGGTGAGAGTCCTGATCGTAACAGTGGCTGTGAATACTTGTTCAGTCTCCCCTTGGTACTTGACAGTGAGTTGAGCTTAGGGGAGAATCTTCTTCAAAGTGATTGAATTGCCCTTTTTTTAAAGTGACTTGTTTATTTTATTTGAAAGGCAGAGTTAGAGATCTTCCATCCACCAGTTCATTCCCCAATGGCCACAACAGCAGGAGCTGGGCCAGGTTAAAGCCAGGAGCCAAGAGTTTCTACCAGGTCTCATGTGGGTGCAGGGGCCCAAGCACTTGGACCATCCTCTGCTGCTTTTCTAGGAGCATTATCAGGGAGTTGGATCAGAAGTAGAACAGCTGGGACTCTAATTGCCCATTTGGGATGCTGGTGACAGAGGCAACAGCTTTATCCACTGCCACAACATTGGCCCCTCAACTGCCATTTTTTGAAAAAGATTTGAGAGGCAGAGTTACAGAGGAAGAGAAAGAGGTCTTCTATCCATTGGTTCACTCCCTAGATGGCCTCAACATCCAGAGCTGGCCAATCAGGAGACAGGAGTGTCTTCTGGGTCTCCCATGGGAAACAGGAGCCCACCACTGCTTTCCCAAGTGCATTAGAAGGGAGCTGGATCAGAAGTGGAGTAGCCGGGACTCGAATCAGCACCCATATGGGATTCCAGCACTGCAAGTGGAGGCTTAGTCTACTATGCCATGGCACCGACCCCTCAACTGTTTTATAAACCCTGCTTCAAAATTGAATGCATTGAAAGAAAGTGCCTGAGCTGTTGGGGGCTTTTGACCTGAATTTCTCCCCTGTGTCATTTATACATCTGCTGTAAAAGTGATGAAAATAGGAAAAGGACATCTCATTTCCACGATTATCCCCCGACCCCCAGAGCAATCAACTTCTTACTTGCATTACTCTCACATTAAAGGCTTCCTCTGCTGATGTCTACTTGGTGCTGAACGTAGATGTGAAGTGTGATGAGCATTCAATCACAACAGCAAATCCTTGCTAACAAAAGGGAACAAATCCCTGGATCTGTATCTCTTTGCCTTTCCTGAAACCTGTTGGTGAGGAGAACTCTTAAAAATAGTCTTTGTTCTTAGAGCATAAGTCTGGAGAGAAAACCAAGGGATAGAGAATTGCTGAAGAGGAAAATGGCAATGGATGAGACACCCAGATAAATGCAGAGTTGATTGATATTGTGGGTGGGTTTGTGGTTGACTCTTGCTGGGCAGGTGTTAGGAAGGTAGACACCCAATGGGCGAGTCAAATATTGTAACCTAGGTAATGTGTATTTCTCTTGCTTCTGACCCAGTGAAATATAAATGTGCAAATAACTCTGGAACTCCAAGTATTCCTCAGCTGAGACACTTATGGTTGGGGGGAGGGAATTTGCTTGTGAAAACACGTGCCTCTTGATCATGGCAAAGTATTGTTAATGTGTAGTATTGAGTCCCTGTGAAACCTCGTGGTGTTGCTGGATGCTAGCCATTTAGAAGCTGGCACTGGTCTCTACGTGCTGGTCAGGGTAGTAGTTCATAAAACATCTTGTTTTTAAATTAAAATATCTGAATTATTTGCTTTGTAGGATAGTCGCCGCTTTCTCAATCGCCTAAATGACAGACTTGGTGACCAAAGAAGGTAAGATGCTTTTTATAGTATTTTATTGACTCAATGTGTTTTGAAAATGTCTAATATTTTTAAAGCATGTCTAGGACCTGTTTCATTTTAGGAGAGTGCTATGGAACTGTCCATTGACGAGAAATCTAGGGTGATCAGACTTTCTACCCGGTGATTCACTTGAGTGTACTTAAAAATTATCTGTTAGTGCCGGCGCCACGGCTCACTAGGCTAATCCTCCACCTAGCAGCGCCGGCATACAGGGTTCTAGTCCCAGTCAGGGCACCGGATTCTGTCCCAGTTGCCCCTCTTCCAGGCCAGCTCTCTGCTGTGGCCAGGGAGTGCAGTGGAGGATGGCCCAAGTGCTTGGGCCCTGCACCCTGTGGGAGACCAGGAGAAGCACCCGGTTCCTGCCTTCGAATCAGTGCGGTGTGCCGGCCGCAGCGCGCCAGCCGTGGCAGCCATTGGAGGGTGAACCAACAGCAAAGGAAGACCTCTCTCTCTCTGTCTCTCTCTCACTGTCCACTCTGTCAAAAAATAAAAAAATAAATAAAAAAATTATCTGTTAGTCTTTAGCATGTTTCTTTGACTTGGGACATTTTTGATACTACAGCCTCCAGAAAGTCCATAGATTTTGTGAAGAGTGATTTTTTTTTTTAAGAGGCTTGAGGTCATTGGGGATAAGCATCTAATGGACAGTTGAGTTCATGATGGGCTAACTTCTTTCTTAGGGAATTCTGCAAAGCCCTTTGGTTGAGACAGCACAGCAGTAAGCATGGTTCATAGACTACCAGGTGGAGCTTTAAAATCCTTTTGTGGAAGTTTCCCATTTGTATGTTTGAAACCCCCTACCATACCCCATGCAAAGAGACTTGATGGTGTACGCTAGATATGAGTATTCTTGTTGCAGAGGCTCTGGGTTGTGCTTGGGATCAATCTATAGTTCACTTGGTAATTGTGAGGTGTTTTGCAGGGTGTACTCATTTCCATGTATTGCTGCTTTCGCTGATGGACATGAGGTATGTTTGTCTGTCTTGAGTTGGGAAGGTGGTGGGGCAATGACAACCAGGTAGGTTAAACTTCACTCTCGTTTCACAAGGAAGCTAACATCCTCTCTGAGTAGCTTCAACTCTCAAACTGATGTGTCCATACCGTTACTGATGGTCCACTTGAGGGCTCTGGGCTATATGGTTACTAGTGAAAAGGAATTTTAGGATCCACACTGTACATATGAAGTCAACTATGGAAACCTTGCCTCATTTTACCCTCTTGATGGGAAACATTCATGCAGAAGCAAGGGGGTGATTTCCTTGCCTCTTTGCTTCTAGTTGATGCCTCCTCATTTCTCTGAATTGGAGCCACTCTTTCTCTTCCTATAGTATAAGGCATGGAAGTGTAGGACTTTATAAATGATGTGCCTTCATAGGAAAGTATCTGATGGTCCAAGTATAGTGCTTTGTAGTCTAAGGTTGATCAGTTTATTTTCACCCTCTTTGGTTTCTGGAGGAACAAGGTCCTTCATGTAAAAACGCCCCCAAATACAGCATCTCCGTTTCAGGGTAAGGCCATCACAGGTGTTGGACTCGTGACACAGCTGAGGCTTCCTGGTCTTGCTTTCAGAGTGTCCTCATCAACCATTTCCTTGGTTTAGCTTCAGCCTGCCGTTGCCTCTGAACTCAGGACTTCACTGCTCATTCTTTGGAATGGATTCCGGTCGTCTGATGCCTGTATCTCGGCTCCATCCGTGTTTTTCTTCAGGTTGCTGTGAGGATTCTATTCTCTGTGTGGGTCATCTTTCCAGTTTCCATCAGCTTCTATCGGGTTCCTTACACTTCACCATACCCTGGCTTCCAGTACATGTGTGGTGGGGTGAAGCCTACATTTCACCAAAGCACCAAACAAAGTACAGGAAGGACAACCCCCTCAAAGCGTGGTGCCAGGCTAACTGGATCTCCCTAGTCAGAAGGTGGAAACTTAATTTCTTCCTCTCCCATACAAATAAAGATGGAACACAGATCTGTAAGAGCTGAAACTGTGGAACTACTAGGAGAAAACCTAAGAGAAACACCTTAAGACCCTGATACAGGCAACATTGTTTTCGATAATACCCACAAAGCACAACAACAACAAAAACTAGGCAAATGGGACTATATGAAGCTAAGAAGCTCTTTCAGAGCAAATGATTAACAGTGAAAACTGACTGGATGGGACAAAATATATGCAAACTCTTCATCTGACAAAGGACTAATATCCAAAATATGACACTCAAAGTATTCAAAGAATCCCAAACTAATCCAGTTAGGAAATGGGCAAAGGATCTGAATAGAAGAGTTTTATTTTGTTTGAAAGGCAAAGAGACCGACAGAAAGAGAAAGAAATAAAAATAGAAATAGATAAATAAATCTCTCCCATCTGCTGCCACCTCCCCTGCCCCCGCCCAATGCCTGCAAGAGCCAGGGCTGGGCCAGACCAAAACAGGAGCCAGAGTTCATTCTGTGTCCTGCATGTGTGGCAGAGACCAAGTACCCATCACCTGCTGCCTCCCAGGGGAGTGCTTTAGCAGGAAGCTGGATCACAAGCAGGGCTAGGACTCGAACCCAGGGACTCCAGTATGGGATGGAAGTGTCCCAAGTGGTATTTTAACTGCTGAGCCAAATGCCTGCCCCCAAATAGACATTTCTTAAAGAAATACCATCAGTCAACAAATACATGAAAAATGCTCAATACCACTAGCTATCTGAGAAATACAAGTCCAAAGCACAATGAGATCATCTCCAGTTAGGTTATCATGTTGATATCTGAAGCAGATATGACAAAATGTTAAAAATTGATAAATCTATGTGTGCTCATTGAGTCTTCTATATTTTAAATATTTAAAAACAAATGCTGGGAAGGGTATGAAGATAGAAACTTGAATAGTGATGGGAATTTAAATTGGTATAGTCATCTTACTAAATGTTTATCTTCATCTACTTGAAAGGCAGAGAGACCTCCTATTTGCTGATTCATTCCTCCCAGATACCCACGACAGGTGGGGCTCCCTAGGCTGAAGCCGGGAGCTCCATCTGCATCTCCCACATAGATGGTAAGAACCTAATTACTGGGCCAAAATCAGCAACCTGGCAGGCGCATTAGCAGGAGGCTGGATTGGAAGCAGAACAGCCAGACTGAAACTAGCACTCTGATACAGGATGTAGCTGTCCCAAGTGGTGCCTTAACCCACTGTGCCTCAGCACCTTCCCAACTCCCATATTTATCTCAGCACTGCTCACAGTGGCCGAAATACAGAACCTAAGCATCTTATCAATGGATAGATAGTGTGTGTGGTGTCTATGTATGTTCATAGAGTAGAATATTCTCCCTCTCTGCCTTTCAAATCTTAAAAATTAACCTGCTTGAATTTGTATTTGAATAATTTACTTGGAGTAGTTATAGCATATTTTTATTTTTTGACTTCAAGTTGTATTTACATAAGTTTTCATAAGTCAAGTACACACTTAAATTGTTAATCTCAGGGCTGGTGCTGTGGTGCATGAGGTTAATCCTCTGCCTGCGGCACCGGCATCCCATATGGGTGCCGGTTCTAGTCCCGGCTGCTCTTATTCCAATCCAGCTCTCTGCTGTGGCTTGGGAAATCAGTAGAAGATGGCCTGAGTGCTTGGGCCCCTGCACCCACGTGGGAGACCAGGAAGAAGCTCCTGGCTTCAGATCTGCACAGCTCCAGCTGTTGCGGCCATTGGGGAGTAAACCAAAAGAACAAAGACCTTTCTGTCTCTCCCTCTCACTGTGTGTAACTCTACCTCTCAAATCCTCCGCCTGTGGCGCCAGCACTCTGGGTTCTAGTCCCGGTTGCTCCTCTTCCAGCTCTCTGATGTGGCCCGGGAAGGCAGTGGAGGATGGCCCAAGTCCTTGGGTCCTGAACCCACATGGGAGACCAGGAGGAAGTACCTGGCTCCTGGCTTTGGATCGGCGCAGTGTGCCGATTTAGGGGGTGAACCAACGGAATGAAGACCTTTCTCTCTGTCTCTCACTATCTAACTCTGCCTGTCAAAAAAATAAAATATCCCAGATTTTCTAAAAGGAATTTTAGGATTGTAGCATTTTCAAGATTGTTGCTTGTATTTATTATAAAGTGTATTTCACTGATTCAGCTGTTTTTTTGCCTTGAAACTTAATGTAAAGAAATATTTAAAATAAAAAATATGAAATAGTAGGTATTTAACATTGGTAAGCTTTGTTAAAAATTATTCTTGTTAGCAAAACTAAGATGACAACTATTATGGCTCTATAGGTAATAAAATATATAAGCAATACTTTATTATAGTTGAAAATTGTGTGGCTAGAGTCATCTGAATCATTTAAATGTGTGTGAAATACGTGAAGATAGTGACTTTTTTTTTGGAAACAGGTACATGAAAATGTGCTTTTCCTATTTTGCACAAATCTAGCTAAGAAGGGAAACAGTAGAATGTTAGGATAGTATTATTCCAGGAAAAGCACAAATTCTGTTTGTAATGGAATAAATTTTGCCTGACTCTTTAACATGAATTTTCTGCTTAATTCATACTGAATTTTTCTTATAGATGAGAAAACCAGCAGATGAAAAACTAGAGAAATTTTGGATTGATTTCAACCTAGGAAGTCAGAGCATCACTTTCTATATAGACAATACTGAGGTAATGGTGTTTAATTCCTCAAGAGACCTAACTGCTTATGGATTGTTCCTGTGTGTGTGTTGTATGCTCATGAGTTTCACAAATTTGTCTTCCAGAGTGCTCTGTGGGATCCAGTAAGACTGTGCAAAGAAACAGTGGTGAATTTCAGCATAATAGGTAAGGTGGTAATTTTTAGCTACCCCATATCTAATGCTGTTTGTTTCTATTTCTAGTATATTATTTCAGTATATAGGTTAGGTAGTTGTAGGGAAGGTACTGATCTATGCCTTGAGATAGAGGGAAGGTTACATGGTATGATGGAAGGCACACTGGGCTCAGGGCCAGCATCTGAGTGATAGAGCTGGTGATCCCTTTGTTTTGTAACTTTGAGGTTCAAATATTTCACTAGTTTCTCATTGTAGAAGCAGATATAGTCCTCCAAAAATTAAAAAGTGCACTGTATAATTCCATCCTATTTCTGCATATATATCAAAAAGAAAGCCCCAAAAGATACTACTGCCATATTAATTGGAGCATTATTTATGGTAGCTGAAATGTCTAAGGAATTCAAGCACCTGTTGAGGAATGAATGGATAAATAACCTTGGTATCCACACATACAATGGTGTATGGTTCAAATTGAAAAAGGAAGGGAATTTGACACATACTGTAATTTGGAGGATGCTTGGAGGCTAAGTGAAATAGCAAGTCTCAAAAAGACAATTCCTATACAATTCCTCTTATCCCTGGAGATTTCAAATGACTTATGGAAAAACGGAGTTAAGAGATAAATTAAAAAATTTCTCAGAGATGGTGCTGTGGCACAGCAGGTTAATGCCCTGGCCTGAAGCACCGGCATCCCATATGGGCACCTGTTTGAGACCTGGCTGCTCCACTTCCCATCCAGCTCACTGCTATGGCCTGGGAAAGCAGTAGAAGATGGCCTAAGTCTTTGGGCCCCTGCACCCACGTGGGAGACCTGGAAGAAGCTCCTGGTTTCGGATCAGCACAGCTCTGGCCATTGCGGCTAATTGAGGAGGGAACCATCGGATGGAAGATCTCTCCCCTCTCTCCCCTTCTCCCCTTTCTGTGTAACTGACTTGTAAATCAACTAAATCTTTTAAAAAACTTTCTGAACATAAGGTCCAAGTTCAAGAACATTTGTAATTGATATCAGACATTTAGTCTATCCTATCAGGCACTAAAAGCTGCTGTCCAGCCTTTTTCCAAAAAAAATTTAATTAGTTTATTTGAAAGGCACAGCATCAGGGTTGATGTTGTCATACTTAGACCATCTTCTACTGTTTACCAGGCCATAGCAGAGAGCTGGATCAGAAGTGGAGCAGCTGGTACCTGAACTAACACCCATATGGGATGTCAGCGCTGCAGACCGCAGCTTTATCCGTCATGCCACCGTGCTGGCCACCTGTTGTATTTGAGCTCTTTATATATTCTGGTTTTAACCCTCTATCCATTCCATAGTTTGCAAATAAATTCTCCCATTCTATTGGATGCCTCTTCACTTTGCTGAATGTTTCTTTTCAGTGGAGAAGCTTCTTAATTTGATTTAATCCCCTTTGTCAGTTTTGGCTTTGATTGTGCCTCTGGGGACTGTTCCAAGAACTCTTTGCCTATGACAATGTCTTGCAGAGTTTTTCCAGTGTTCTCTAATAATTTAATGAGATCAGGCCATAGATTTAGGTCTTTAATCCATTTTGAGTGGATTTTTGTGTAAGGCAGGGGACTTGCTTCATGCTTCTGCATGTGGAGATCCAGTTTCACCAGCACCATTTGTGGAAGAGACTGTCCTTGCTCCAGGGATTGATTTTAGCTCCTGGGTCAAAGTTAAGTTGGTTGTAGATGCCTGGGTAGATATCTGGCATTTCTATTCTGTTCCATTGGTCTATCCACCTGTTTTTGTACTGGTGCCAGGCTGTTCTAACTGCCCTGTAGTATGTCTGTTTTTTTTTTTTTTTAAGATTTGTTTATTTGAAAGAGTTATACAGAGAGGAGAGGTAGATATAGGTCTTCATCTACTGGTTCACTACCCAATTGGCCGCTAGAGCTGCACTGATCCAGAGCCAGGAGCTTCCACTGGGTCTCCCACATGGGTGCAGGAGCCCACATGGGACCTGGGCCATCTTCCACTGCTTTCCCAGGCCATAGCAGAGAGCTGGACCAGAAGTGGAGCAGCCGGATCTCGAACTGGTGCCCATATGGGATGCTGGCGCTTCAGGCCAGGGCATTAATGTGCTGCACCACAGCACCAGCCCCCTGTAGTATGTCTTGAAATCTCGTATTGTGATACCTCTGGGTTTGTTTTATGCTGTATAAGATTGCTTTAGCTATTCAGAGTCTCCTGTGTTTCCATATGATTTTCAGCATCAATGTCTCTGTATCTGAGAAGAATGTTCTTGTATTTTTGATAGGTATCACATTGAATTTGTCAATTGCTTTTGGTAGTATGGACATTTTGATGATATAGATTCTTCTAATCTATGAACATGGAAGATTTTCCTTTTTGTGTGTGTGTGTCTTTCATTCTTCAATGTTTTGTCTTTGACATCCTGGTTAAATTTATTCTAAGGTATTTGATTTGTTATTTGAAACTCAGAAAGGCAGAGGTGGAAGGAGAGAGGTCTTCGATCCGCTGGTTCACTTCTCAAATGGCTGGAGCTGTGCCATTTCTGAAGCCAGGTGCTTCTTCCAGGTCTCCCACGGATGCCCAAGGACTTGGGCCATTTTCTCCTGCTTTCACAGGTGGTAACAGAGAGTTGGATTGGAAGTGGAGCATCCGGGACTTGAACTGGTGCCTATATGGGATGTTGGTACTGCAGGCAGTAGCATTACCCACCGCCGCAGCATTGGCCCTGAGTTCCAATAATCTCTTAGTGGAGTCTTTTGGATCTCCTATATATAGAATCATGTCATCTGCAAATAAAGGTAGTGTGACTTCCTCCTTCTCAGTTTGTATAACTTTGATTTTTTTTTTTTTCCTAATGGCTCTGTCTAAATCTTCCAGAAACATATTGAATCGAGATGGTGAAAGTGGACATCCTTGTCTGGTTCCAGATCTCAGTGGGAATGCTTCCAACATTTCTCCATTCAATATGATCCTGGCCGTGGGTTTGTCAAAAATTGCCTTGACTGTGTTGAGGAATGTTGTTTCTATATCCCATTTGCTTAAAGTTTTAATCATGAAAGGTTGATGTATTTTATCAAATGCTTTCTCTGCATCTATTGAGATAACCATATGGTTTTTGTTTTTCAATTTGTTAATGAGATGTATCACATTGATTGCAAATGTTGAACCATCCGTGCATACATGGATAAATCCCGTTTGATCTGGGTGAATGATTTTTCTGGTGTGTTGGATTTGATTGGCTGCTACTACGGTGAGGTTTTTTTGCATTTAAATTTTTCAGGGAAACTGGTCTGTAGTTTTTTATCTCTTTCAGGTTTAGGAATTAAGGTGATGCTGGCTTCATCGGAGTTTGGGAGGATTCTCACTTTTCATTGTTTTGAATAGCTTGAGTGATTTGGAGTTAGTTCTTTAAATGTCTGGTAGAACTCAATGTTGGGAAGGTCTTTATGACATTCAATTTCTGTCTTGCATATTGGTCTCTTTAGGTTTTTGTTTCTTGTCTAATTTTAATTTTCCTACTATTTTTATGTATGGTTTGCTATTTTCTAGTCCTTGAGATGCATTGATGGCTCATTGCTTTGGTGCCTTTCTAAATTATTGATATAGGCACCAATTGCTATAAACTTCCCTCTTAACACTGCTTTTGCTGTATCCCAAAAGTTCTGATATGATATATTGTCATTTTCATTCATTTCCATGAATTTTTTAATTTCTGTTTTGATTTCTTCAGTGACCCACTGTTCATTCAGGAGCATGTTGTTCAGTCTCCATGTGTTTGCACATGTTCTAGACTCTTGGGTTATTGATTTCCAGCTTCATTCGATTGTGGTCAGAGAAGATGCATGGTATGATTTTGATTTTGATTTTGTTTGAATTTGCTGACACTTGCTTTATGGCCTAGTATGTGGTCTATTCTAGAATAAGTTCCATGCACTGGTGAGAAGAATGTATTCTGCAGCTGAAGGATGAAAACTTCTTTATCCATTAGGTCTATTTGGTTGATAGTATCGAATTAACTATTTCCTTTTTGATTTTCTGTTTGGTTTATCTGTCCATTGTCAAAAGTGAGGTATTGAAGTCCCGCATTACTATTGTGCTATTGTGTTGGAGTCTCTATCCTTTTATATCCACTAAAATTCTTTTTTTTTTTTTTTTTGATAGGCAGAGTTAGTGAGAGAGAGAGAGAAAGGTCTTCCCTCCTTTGGTTCACCCCTCAAATGGCTGCCACGGCCGGTGCGTTGTGCTGATCGGAAGCCAGGAGCCAGGTGCTTCCTCCTGGTCTCCCATGCAGGCGCAGGGCCCAAGCACGTGGGCCATCCTCCACTGCACTGCCTTCCCCAGGCCACAGCAAAGAGCTGGACTGGAAGAGGAGCAACCGGGACAGAATCTGGCACCCTAACCAGGACTAGAACCAGGGGTGCCAGCGCCGCAGGCGGAGGATTAGCCTAGTGAGCCGTGGCACCAGTCTAAAATTCCTTTTCAATAGCTAGGTACCCTGTAATTTGATGCATGCATGTTTACAATAGTCACATCTTCCTGTTAAGTTGATCCCTTAATCATTATATAGTGCCCATATTTGTCTCTTAACAGTTTTTCTGTTATTTTTGTCTGATACTAAGCTGGCTACATCAGCTGTTTTTTGGTATCTGTTAGCATGGAATATCTCTTCCCATCCTTTTACTTTCAGTCTGCATGTGTCTTTGTTGGTGAGATGTGTTTCTTGTAGGCAGCAAATAGATGGGTCGTGTTTTTTTAATCCATTCAGTCATTTTAACTGGAGAGTGTAGTCATTTATATTCAAGGAGACTATTAATAAGTAATGACTTCACCCTGCCATTTTCTCCGTAAATATTCCTAACGTTTACTTTGGATTTCCTTTGTGCTTTCACTGGGAGGTTTCCTGCCTTCACCTTCTTCCATAGTGATGACCATGTTTCTGTGTTTGTGTGCAGCAACTTTCCATCTCTGTTTGTTGTGGAAGGTCGTCATTTTTCCTTCTTACATAAATGAGAGCTTTGCAGAGTATAGTATTC